CTCCAGCTTCTGCCTCCAGGTTCCTGCCCTGAGTTCCTACCTTGGGCTCCCTGATGAACAGTGACCCGGGAGAGATATAAGATAAACCCTTTCCTCTAGGAGTTGGTGTTGGTCCGAGTATTTTGTCACAGCAATGGAGAAACAAACTGGGACAAACCCTAAGCCAAACCCAAACCCTAACCCTAACGTAGCCTTAACCCTAACCTCAAATATAACCCTAACCTTAACAAAACCCTAGTTCTTACCCTAACCCTAACACTAAGCCCGAAGATAATACAAGAGTTTCTGTTCCAAACAACAAAATTAATTTTTAAGTACTTAATGATGCATATTGAGATTTTACTACTTAATGATATTTATGAATTTCATACCCTTCCACTTATCTGGTTCCTAGCACAGTGCCTCCCTTTGGAACCTCAAGCTTAGGGAGAGCAGTGGAGAACTATCACCAGTGTGCTGGATAGCTTTAGTATCAACTTGACACACCTGGGTTGAGGGAGCTTCAACTGGGGAATTGCCTCTATTGAACTGGCCTGTGGCCATGTCTGAAGGGCATCTTCTTGATGAGTGATGTGGGAGGGCACAGCCCACTATGGGTGGTGCCACCCCAGGGCAGGTGGGCCAGTGTTGCATAAGAAAGCAGGCTGAGCAGAGGCCAGAGGAGCAAGCCTGTAAGCAGCGTTCCTTAATGTCCTGTACTCCAGCTCCTGCTTCCAGGTTCCTGCCCTGAGCTCCTACCTTGGGCTCCTTGATGAACTGTGACCTGGGTGATGTAAGCTGAATAAAATCTTTCCTCCCCAAGTTGGTATTGGTCATAGTATTTTATCACAGCATTGAAGAACAAACTAGGACAGAAATTGGTACCAAGAGTGGGGTATTGCTGTGACAGACTGACCTTTGTGTTTTGGGGAGGACTCGGGAAGTGTTTGGAACTTTGGGTTGGAAAAGTCATTGCGTGCTCAGAGTTTGTTGCTGTGGAGCTTGGAACAGTTATGCTGAAAGAGTTGTAGACAATGGAGGCCTGGCTTGTGAACTTTCAAAGCAAAGCAGAGATTATCAGGGCTGTTCATGTGAGATTTTGAATTGAGACTCTGTGGGTTCTTGTCAGCTGGGGCTGAAGAATCAGCTGTGATTAGGGAGAGACCAGAATCTGAAGCAAAACCTTTGCGTTACTGGGACAATTGATGCTAGTTAGATGGGGCTGAAACATCAGCTGTAAATAACAAGAGACCAGCATCACTGAGGTGAAGTCTTCTGCGAGGTATTTCCTCAGGGTCAGCACACAGAGGGGCCCTGCCTCTATCTCAAGCTGGAAGCAGGACTTGGTAATGTTTAAGAGTCTCCTGCATGGTTCTGGTGTTGAAAGCATGAAGGGGTCACAGAGAGTGGCTGAGGCTTGGCATTGTGAGAGGCCAGGAAAGGCCATAGGTGAAAGTGCAGGTTCAGTTGCAGTTAAGACCCCAGGATTGAAGGGGTCATGGAGAGAAACTGAGGCTTTGCACCCCAAGAGGCAAGAAGAGGCCATTGGTGAAGGTGTAGTCTCAGATTCAGTGGAGACTCCAGCTTTTTGGACATGTCAGGACCATGGGATGACCACTAAGGGCAGCAGCAGGTGTGGAATGGAGCTTGCCTGGGTCTTCAAGACAAGCAGTGTGTGCTGTGGACC